AGATTTGAACGGAATAGCTAAAGTCAGTGCAAGAAGAGTGTGTTTGTTTCTATTTATATCTTTCTTTACTCCAAGGAGCTTAGGGTTGTATACATGGCTGCCTTCCATAATTTTATTTTCACAGCAGTCTTGTGAAGTAGGCTGGTCTGAGAAAAAGGAACTGCTCCAAGGTGCTTTCCATAGCCAAGCGAAGACAGGAATATAGGTCTCCCTTCTCCTAATCCAACAATCTGACCACTGCATCAATGCTGGATTTTGTAGAATAAACAACTCATTGACTTTCCTTTTCATGAGGATTTGGGGGGCAGGGGGAGGACATTGCCACAAAGTGAGGTGCCAGGCCACCAGAACAGGGTGAATAATTCCAGCTGGAACAAAAAGATCCCAGTGAATCGTCCCTAGGGTAGTTGGTTAATAGTTTATTTGGAAATTTGACTCAGTGGCCTTTGCAGAAAAAAGAAGCATAAAAATGAAACCAAGCATGCAACTTCTGCTGTGATGCTCAGTCGGGGGAAAAAGAAGAAATGACAGAGACATGACATCAGATATAAATATAGCCACTCTCCAACTTCAGCCAGAGTTCTAACCCTTTGACAATATGCTGAAAGGATAAACAACACCAGCCCTTCTTTTGTTGTTGCTTATTCCCAAACCGAAATCAATGTGCTTCCTAATAATAAAAGTATGAATGTGCATCATGTTACTGTATGTTAGTAGTAAATGTGCCATCCACATGGTGTGGTTTAGGTTCTGTTTGGTTGGAATGGAGTTCTGGAGATCCCACGCTGGCTCTACATTGTAGAGTTAATGCAATTTGTCCACTTTATGTTGTTTATTCATTCAGTCACTTCCAACTCTTCGTGATCTCATAGGCCAGCCCATGCCAGAGCTCCTTGCCCACCGTCGTCAACCCATACTCCTTCAAGGTCAAGCTAGTTACTTCAAGGATAACTTCCATCTTGGCCTTGGTCGGCCGCTCTTCTTTTTTCCTTCCATTTTCCCCAGCATCATTATCTTCTCTAAGCTTTCCTGTCTTCTTATTATGTGGCCAAAGTACTTCATCTTTGCTTCTAATATCCTTCCCTCCAGTGAGCAGCCGGTCATTATTTCCTGGAGTATGGACTGGTTTGATCTTGCAATCCAAGACACTCTCAGAATGTTCCTCCAGCACCACAGTTCAAACGCGTCTATCTTTTTTGGCTCAGCCTTCCTTATGGTCCAGCTCTTGTATCCATAAGTTATTATGGGGAATACCATTGCTTTAACTATGTAGACCTTCGTTGCCAGTGTGATGTCTCTACTCTTCACTATTTTATCGAGAGTGGTCATTGCTCTCCTCCCAAGAAGTCAACGTCTTCTGATTTCCATTTTATAGAATCATAGAGTTGGAAGAGACCTTGTGGGCCATCCCGTCCAACCCCCTGCCAAGAAGCAGGAATATTGCATTCAAAGCACCCCTGACAGATGGCCATCCAGCCTCTGTTTAAAAGCCCCCAAAGAAGGAGCCTCCACCACACTCCGGGGCAGAGATTTCCACTGCTGAACAGCTGTCACAGTCAGGAAGTTCTTCCTAATGTTATCTGCCATGGCTCACTGCTATAGAATCCTGGGGTTTATAGTTTGGTAAGTCATCAGCACTCCTTGACAGAGAAGACAAAAGATCTTGCGAAGCTACTACTGCTTATAACAATAAACCATGGCAGTTAAATTAGTAACAAACTGCATTTATTCTCCAGTATAGACGTACCCCTAGTCTCCAAGAATCCATTACATTCATTGGGTGACCCTGACTACAGTAGGCACCCCTTTGAGTCTCATGTTACCTTTAGTCTCTTTTAAGAGAGGAAAAAGTGAGATATAAATAAATATCATCATCTCCATCTTTCTAATCAAACAGTGTTGTGAAGCTGTGGCATGGAAAAGACATTCATGGACCCCACCTTGATCTCTTTCATCAAAATCAATGGCCCACAAAAGACAGTGAAGGAGGGGAGAGCAGTAGAAGAGCCCATTTCTTATATCTCTTCCTTTCAAGCACCATTGAGAACCCCTTTTCTTTCTCAGCCAACAGTCACTACCATCCCTGGTCCAAAGGTACTTACCAAGCAGACGATCTATGGTCATTCACCAATGACACCAGTTCGTTGTGCAGATGCCCTGCTGAGAAACAACTAGGTTCTCAATCTGTTGGTCCCCAAGTGTTTTGGACTACAACTCCCAGAAATCCCAGCCAGTTTACCAGCTGTTAAGAGTTCTGGGAGTTGAAGACCAAAACATCTGGGGACCCACAGATTGAGAACCACTGAACCATACATAAACCAGTTTATACCAGTATACACATATATATACCGGTATACACGCCACACACACACACACATGCTCTTGGTGACCTTGTAAAACATGAGGAGGTATACTTAATCTAGTTTGTATCAGTAGCCGTATCTTATATCAGTATCTTATATCATCCTCACCGTCTTTCTCATTCTCTCTTCTTACATACATACATACACACACAGCATGCACCTAAATCAGAGGAGTATGCATAAATTACCACATTTTATTTTTAAAAACTTATTATGTCTTTTTCTGTATCCATTCTCACTTATTGTTCTCCACTTTGAACCTAGCTGCCTGGTGGAAACGAGTAAATATTTAGAACAAATCAATTATAATATTTTCAGTATCTGCTATGTCTAATACCTCCCTTGGGGACAAAACATTTGCTGTTTCTGGCAACTATGTCAAATTCGCTTTTCAGCAAGGATTTAATTTTTCAGGAAGAGTCTTATGACTTGTATATTTTTGAAAAATTAAAAAAATCAGTTTTCTCAGATCATTCAGTTCTGTATCCAAAGCTCATGCTCAGCTGTTGAATTCCTGCAATGTTCCAGCACATCTGTAGAGCACCAGGTTGGGGGGGAAACTATTTTAAGTCCATCCTTCTTCATAAGTTCTCTCTCCACTCTGTTTCCACACGCCACCAAGCATTCAGCTACTGTAACATCACATTTTTTAGCTTCCTATCGTCTTTTTTTCAGAGCCAATGTGGTTATGAGGTTTGTGGGGCATTCAAATCCCTGTCTGTTGAGCCAGTTGACTTTGACCCAATTACTTCCCTCAGCCCTAATTTACCTCGCACAGTTGTTTCCCGAATAATCACACTCCCATGTATATCACCATGTGTAAAGGACAGCATGTACAGAGAACTTACAAAAGCTATTTTTGAACTGTAGTTTCCAGAATCCCCTGAGCAGGATGGTTGTGAAGGGGGCATGTTTGAGGAGTTACTATTTTTAAAAGTATATGCCATATTTATTCAATTGTGAGATAGCATTGATTTATTTAGTTAGTTATTTACCATATTTGTATACTGCCTTTCTCAGCCCGGAGGCGACTCAAGGCGGTTCAATTGTGGGATGCACCCTAGTTTCAGTACCACCACCAACAAAAATACATATAATGCATCTGCGATTCTAAGACACATTCCCCATTTTTCGAGATGTTTATATAGGAAAAAAGTGTGTCCTGCGAGAATTGAAGAAATACAGTATGTGCAAATCTAAATAAAATTCTCCCACTAGGGGTGTAATGTCCAGAAACTTTGAAGCTATGAGAAGGAAAGCATTTATTCTATTTTTCTGAGAAAATTGAAATTTTGGGGATTTTTTTTTAAAAAATCAATATTCTCCTGCTGTTGCAGATCAAAAGTTATTTTGGACAGGCATGGGCAGCTTTCTAACTTGGAGACCGCATGATGGGCCAGAGTGGGGTAGGCGGGCCAGGAGGGAAATCGTTCTCTCCAAGCCCCCTCCCTGCCCTTTCCTCCCCTTCCTCTTCTCTTTCGGAGGCAGAAAGTGAAGGAAAGATAGGAAATGTTTGATTCCCAAAAGGGTTAGCCTTGGTCAGGATGAGATGGTGGACGGGAGACTTCATGGGCCATCAAATCCAACCCCCTGCCAAGAAGCAGGAATATTGCATTCAAAGCACCCCTGACAGATGGCCATCCAGCCTCTGCTTAAAAGCTTCCAAAGAAGGACCCTTCACCACTCTCCGGGGCAGAGAGTTCCACTGCTGAACGGCTCTCACAGTCAGGAAGTTCTTCAAGCTAAACATGCCCAGCTCTTTAAGCAACTCTTCATGGGGCTTACATACATGCATACGTACACAGATACACACACACACAAATGGAAGGACAAGATCCTAATCCATGTGATCATTTGAACTATAAGAAGTCAGCAAAAAAAAAACCTGCAATAAAAACTAAAAAACAGAAGAAAATATCAAGATTAGTAAAACGGGGCAACTATATAGTCAAATACAGTTTTTAGAAATGATTTGAGTGCAGTAAATATGTAGACTCCTTTTGATCAAACATTTTATCCTTCACTCTAAAAGAAAATATTTCATAGTCTATTTAAAAATATCAACAACTTTGGAAAATGTGTTTTTTTTTAACTTGTCCCCTTCCCCAATCTCTATTCTCCCCTCCCACTTTTTGAAAAAGTCAGTCTTGAACTTGGAATCATGATGTACCTTGGTTTAACTGGTTTGGAGTCCTTTTTGATGGACTGACTTCTGCTTTTCAATATCTTGCTGATGGGTTCGCTTGGGCTGACACGAAAGGCTGTGCGGAGGACAGCATGGGAATCTCAGGTCAAGAGGGGGCTAGCCCTGCACGTGCTCCCAAGAGTGTAGATGCGTTTGGGTGTGATGCGACCTCTTCCCCAACCCCCTTATCGCTTCTGCTACTCTCAGATAACATAAAGTGAGTCCACTTGTACTGCTCTCGCCTCCTGGTTTCTGAAAGGGTGTGAGATGATGGAAGTGGAGCTGTACGAAGCCAAAGAGTGAGCTGGGGTGGTTGGGAAAGCTTTGGAGGATGGATGGGGTGATAAAACGAGATAAGATTGTTGCGATGGATGAATGGTAGCTTGAACCTGTTAGGTTTCCTGATCATGGCAAATTTACTTTAACCTTTGCCCTTTCTCTTTGTTCTGAAGGTGGCCGGATGGGAAACGTAAAAGAAAAAGCAGCCAATGTTCGGTGAAAAGCAGTATGTCAGGTAAGTTACCTTTTCTGCTCCTATTTGGACAATGGTGTTCTCTTTCCAACCATCATGCTTCCCTCTGTCACTAGAGGGCAGTGGATTTACTGCACTTCGGCAATCACTGGGCTAAGGAAGGGATCCAGTTGTGGCGGAAAGAATCCACTTTCATTTTCTTACTCCTATGCCTTTTCCCTGAAAGCAGTGTTGCCATGTCTCAGGGCCTGGGCCAGAGCCTCCGGTTTTTCTGAATCACTTCCAGGTGGGAGACAAGTGTGCAAATCTTGAAATTGGCCAGTAGAGTGGCTATTTGCTGTACTTTCCAACTGGTAATTGATTTGTTGCTGGAACTTCTGGTGTTTATGTATAGTATTTGCTTTCTCCTTCCCTCCCAGTCATTGAGGTGCCAGGGCTCATCTCCCACTCCTTTTGACTATTGAAAAGTAGGCTAGATGAAATGTTCCTTATCTCATCTCTTGAGCCTACATTGTGTGATTTGAGTGTGAGACTTATGGTCCCTTCTATAATGCCATATAATCCAGATTATCACATTATCTGATTGAACTGGATATTTATTTTATTTTATTTCGTATCAAAAGCATTGCATAAATTAGTATAAAACTGATAAAAATAGAAGGAGTGCAGGTGGCTAAATATCTTTTGACCAAAAATGGGCAACAGCAACGGCATTGTCTGCAGCCTCCAACAATTCTTCCTCTGTACATGAGGCAGGGCATAGTGGACAAGCATACAGATGTAGGGTTGTCTGTTCTGCTCTACAGTCACACAAGGTGTGGGATTCTTTTACATAGTGCCATTTTGCCAGGTTGTCTTTTTATCTGCCACTCCACTTCTGAGTCTGTTCAGGGACTTCCAAGTTGCCCATTCTTGGTTTGCCTCTGGAGGAAGACCCTCATGGGGGGCCAACCAGTTGGGATTGCCTACTTTAGCTGCCCGAAGGGATGCCCTTGCTGTTGCTGGGGGGACAGTAAGAGGAGTAGTAGTTCTCATAAAGCTTTTCCTTGATTTGAGTCTACTGGGAGGAGGCTGGTAGCCATGTAGTAAATAGCTTTCACAATGTTCAACCTTATTTCAATTGGCTTATATGAGTCTACACTGCCATATAATCCAGTTCAAATCATATTATCTGGATTTTATATGGTAGTGTAGAAGGGGGTCTATGACTAAAGACCATGGTTTCCCACTCAACCATGGAAACCCCCTGGATGATCTTAGATAAGTCACATTCTCTCTGCTTCAGAAGACAACAAAGACAGCCCTCCTCTGAACACAAAGAAAACTTTGTCATAGGGTCACCTTGGAGTCACTATGAGTCAGAAATGCCTTGAAGGCACATAACAATAGCACAGCAATCCAAAAGTGAGGAGGAATCATCCTCTCATTTCACCTTGATTTTGAGTCTCTGTGGCTAAAATTTTGACTAACTTTCCAAACAGGAATATGTGTTCTCTGTATGCCTGAATAACAAACTGTGACCATCTGTGATTGGTACTTAAATGCTTAATGGGCTCTTAGAATTTGGCCAGAAACCTCAGGGCCTGGAACAATCTTGAATTGGTAACTCTGCCTGAGAGTCGGAATTATCGCCCCAAGATTTTTGCACCCTGTCAAGAGATAAATTTCCCTGCGGGGTCATAGACATATTAACGGAGCTCCAGAATTATCATCTGTTGATGCTTTGGATGTTGCCATATTGAGAAAGGGGTGTGGGGGGTAACTCCCGTTTGTACATGTTTGTGATCCTCTAAGCCACATGTAACCCATCAGCAAGCTATGTTTGGTGACCTGCCAAGTGTTTTAACAGTTGCTGTCCTAGGCAAGAAGAAAAACTGTGAGATTGATTAGCCTTTGTATGGAATGATATCATCATTCCATACATGATATCTAAGCTGTATTTGACTTAGTTGGTTACAAATGTGGAAGAGTTAGGGTGAACAGTGCCAGAGTAGAGATTTATAGAGATATTCAGACAGAACAACTTCTTACTAGTTCCTTATGTTCCATTTCTGCTTCTCCAGCTTTAAAGATGAGAAGTCCCTCTTAATTCCCTAGAATTTCAGACCATGCATAAAAATGATGCTGTAGTCTTCTCTTAGGGCAGTGGTTCTCAACCTGCGAGTCCTCAGATGTTTTGGCCTTCAACTCCCAGAAATTCTAACAGCTGGTAAACTGGCTGGGATTTCTGAGAGTTGTAGCCCAAAACACCTGGAGACCCACAGGTTGAGAACCATTGTCTTAGGGCAGTGGTTCTCAGCCTGGGGTCCCCAGATATTTTTGGCCTTCAACTCCCAGAAATCCTAACAGCTGGTAAACTGGCTGGGATTTCTGGGAGTTGTAGGCCAAAAACATCTGGGGACCCCAGGTTGAGAACCACTGTTATAGGGGTTTAGTGACCTTCACTCCTAAACTGTTTTAATCCCAGATAGGGAATAATGGTCTGAGGTCTATCAGACCATCCCACCAATTCCATCTTCCATCCCACCAATCTATCTTAGGCTGCAGACTAGTTTGCTCACTAGCACCCCATTTCTGAGTATCTTCATAGTTAAGACCAAGGTGAGCTATAAGCACGGAAAGAGCTCTTTTACAGCCATGTATTTTTCAAAGCGGATAGTTCCAGTAAGTGAGTCAAGTACAGAATCGAGGAATATGCAAATATCACACATACCAGGTTCACAATCCCTACTGGCTGTTAGGAATTGTGAAAGCTGAAGTCCAAAACACCAGGAGGGCCAAAGTTTGCTCATGCCTGCTATATACTCATGTATAAGTCTAGAAATGTTAGTCAAAATGATCTACCCCCAAAAAACTAGGTCAACTTATCTATTTATTTTATTTATTTAATACCTCGTCCTTCTCAACCCCTGAAGGGGGTCTCAGGGCAGCTTACACCGGCAACAATTCAATGCCGCAACATGCAAACAATATAAACAACTATAAAACAATAAAACAAATATAACAACAATTTAAAACCAAAAATAAGACGTTGAGTTAAAAACATTGTAAGCATTATTGTCTGACCATATAGCCATTTCCAGTCTTATTCATCATCCAAAGTGCTCTCATGCCTGCTGTCCGAAAGCCTGGTCCCAGAACCATGACTTAAGTTTCTTCCTAAAAGAAAGGAGGGAAGGAGCCGACCTAATCTCGCTAGGGAGCAAGTTTCACAGGTGTGGGACCACCGCCGAGAAGACCCTGTTCCTTGTCTCCACCAAACGCACTTGCAAAGTTGGCAGGACCAAGAGCAGGGCCTCCCCGGATGATTTTAAACTATGTGGCAGGATGTAGAGGGAGATATGTTTGGACAGGTAAGCTGGGCCGGAATCGTATAGGGCTTTATAGACCAAGACCATCTACAGGTCAGTGTGAGCTCTGTACCTTTACTCCTATCAAAAAAGGAGCCATTGCCTTCTCTGAGTAGAGGAGCAAAAGTCAGGAACGTAGTCCGTTCTGGGAGAACCTCTTGAAAAGCACCCAAAACCCTCTCATTCCTCCAGTAGAACTTCTTCAAGATATTTTAGTGATATTATTTGTCTGTGCAGAGCAATGGAAATAATGTAATTCCAACAAGTGAGGACTGGCTGTTGAAATTGCCTGACCTATCTGAAAATGGACAAATTGTCAACATTCGTTTTAGAGAATTCAGAGGCTATATTTTTAAAAGACTTTGAACTTTTGATTGTCTTTTTTGCAGAAAAAGAAGAGAATAATGTGTTAACTGTAGGTTTTGATAATTAATAGGTTTGGTGAAGCCGAACCAGTATATGAATAGTAATTATAGTTGGAGAAGTTATTTTACATAATAAGATGTGTTAGCATTGTTAGAAAAGTCGGAAGTCAAATGTTCTTTCTATCTTTATTCATTCTTCCTTGTTATGACTTTTTTCTTTTTGTTTGTATATTTTTCCTTTTCCTTACAATATTTTATTGTAATGGAGATTATGTAGTTTAAAAAATATTTAAAGACGGAAATATTTTAGTCCTAGACAACTCCGTGAAGTGTTTTACTTCTACGGTTGTCGCTGAGAGAGGAAAGAAGGAAAGCAAGGAAGGGGAAAAAATTGCCATTGCCTAAATACCAGAAGCTAAAGAACAGGATATCCTTCATAAATGTAACTTAAGTCTTGTCTTGAACCCATTGAGGTTCTTTGATGTTTTTCCCCTGGCCCAGAGGAGGAGGTCACGGGGCAGCTCAGGATATCGGTTCCCAAATGTCAAAAGTCTGGAGGCAGAAGATAAACCAAAAAAAAGGCTGGGGGAACACAAGAGGTGGGGCCACAATGGGTCATGGGGCAAGACACAATGAGGTAGAATTGGCGAATGTCCGTTGTAAGCCTGTTGTTACCTATTCGGTCAATTCTCATCTTCTTGTGCCCCTTCATCCTGTCATCAGCTCAATCAATCCCCTAACCAACCCCAAGAAAACTCACTTTTGGTCCTGGGTTTTTGACATGGTTCACGTCTATGATTTCTAGGCTTTCTTTTAAGAGAGAGAAGGAGAAAAGCCTTTTTATTATTCTTTTCCAAAGAAGAGAAGGTTTCTTTAAAAAAATGAAATACAATATCACATATAAAATTCAATAACTCATCACTAATTCTCATAATTATTCCATAAATCAAAATCATCTCGACTTATCTCCTTTTCTCCTATTATTAAACCCTCCCTCTCCCTCAGGAAGAGTCTAGCTATTTATTTTAATATCCATTACCTTTCATGTGGAAGATCATTTTAATTGTGTCTTTCAGTCCCTTGCTCCCCTCTATCCCCATTCACATAATCAAACAATTTCCCCCAATTTCTAGTCCATGCATCTTCTCAACCTGGACCTTTTGGGCTTCTGAAAATTGTTAGGAAATATGGTAATTTGCCACATTTTTAAACTAGTATTTCTAAAATAGACGTGGAGAGTTCTGAGCACCATTTTTTAACCATGCACATTTCTCACATCACGTTGACTCATAGATGTTGTGTTCTGACATTTGGATAGAGCAAATTA